TTATGCTGATGTCTGGGAATCTTCTTAATTCTGGAGTAGTCCATCTGGTTCTGGAGGAAATTATTCTTTCTTCCTCTGAAGACCCAATAACAGGGGCTGGGGTTGTGACTCAGGGGTAGAGTGCTCACCTAGCGCGTGCCGGGCACTGGGTTTGATCCTCAGCACTACATAAAAATAAATAAATAAAATAAAGGTATTGTGTCCAACTACAACTAAAAAAGAAAAAAAGTTAAAAAAAAAGTCAAAAAAAAAAGAGGGTATAGCTCAGTGGTAGAGTTCATGCTTAGCATACACAAGACTGGGTTAATCCTACTCTCAAAAGACACAATAAGGAATCAATATTCCAATTTGGAGCGAGAGGGATTTGGGAAATAAATCATAAAGGTTAAATCATGGACCCTAGCATCAAGCTATCCTAAGTTCAAGTCCTGGTTATAACAATTACTAGCTCTGGGACCTTAAACTCTCTGCTAATCTAAAAAAAGATAATTCTGATGTTATGGTGGTGAGGCTTTAAGAATGTGTGCCAAGGGCCTAGGAGTAGAACTCAGTGTTAGAACGCTCACCTAGCCACGTGTAGGGCCCTGGCTTTTATCCCCAGCATCACACGCACAAGTGTGCAAAACACTTGCCACATACGTCAAAGAACACATAATCCAACACATGGTGAATCTTCAATAAATGGTAGGTCCTATTAGCAGCTGATGAATAATATGGCTGATTTTTTCCCCTTTTTACCAACTTGGGAAACAAAGTTTTCTCCAATTACCATTCTTCCCTCAGAGGTGGTCAGGCTCCTCATACTAGGTGTGCCATCATTATGGAAATGAGGAAGCTGGGGACAGATGGGGTGGTTGTATCTCTTTCATTTATCTTCCGTCTCTTAGCTAGCTTGCTCCTTAGCTCAGCTTCTCTGGTTCTTCCTGCTGCCTTCCTTCCCTCTGAAGAAGTCTATCTCCTCTCTCTGGTTTGGAAGACTCAGTCAGGACTTCTGGCTTCCCTGACCCCTACTCTCCCACACATCTTCTCTTGTTCTCTGCTCTTTATTTTGCAGACAGCTAGGGAAAAGGCCAGCATGTGTAAACTAATTGCAAGATGTTCCCCGTAGAATTTCGAGGTGTAGGAGGTTCCCAGTACATTTGATTCCCTCCTGTGTTGTTCTGGATCTGTGGGTGTATGTGGGGAGGCTGAAGAGTAGAAATGGCATTCCTTCAAAGGGTTGAGTCACCTCTGCTCCTGTTCCAGGCAGGATGGCTCTTGGCCTGTAACAAGAAGAAAAACTTATGAGGCAGCAGGGTCTCTGCTCAGAAGGAATCAATCTACATTGGGGCAAGATATCTCACAACAATGACCAGCTAGACCAGAATCAAATTCCCCTCTTTGAAAGGGGGTGAGAGGTGGAGTCATGGACAGAGGAATACGGGAGTGTTTAAGAACCTTAAATACAACTAAAAAATGTTAAAAAAAAAAAAGAAAGAAAAGGAAGGAGGCAAATCTACAATGTCATGGAAAGATATCTAAGACATGTTGTTGAGTGTAAAATGTCACTGAATAACAGGGATATTAAATCTCATTTTTTTAAATACAAAATTTGTGGGCAGGTGAGAAAGGAGTGGGGGAATAGAGTCTCCTGTATTAAATATTTTGCAACTTGTATACATTCATGTAATATTTGCATTAAAAAGTACATTGTGTTTTTTTTTTAAAAAATTAGTTGCAGATGGATACAATATCTTTATTTTATTTATTTATTTTTATGTGGTGCTGAGGATCGAACTCAGTGCCTCATACTTGAGAGGCAAGTGCTCTGCCACTGAGCCACAATCCCAGCCATACATTGGTTTTTTTATTTATTCATTTTTGGGGTACTGGGGATTAAACCCAGGGGTGCTTTACTACATCCTTAGCTGGCCTTGAACTTGCAATTCTCCTGCGTCAACCCCCTGAGTTGCTGGGAATACAGGCATATGCCACTGTACCTGGCAAAAAGTATATTTTAAATAGTTAAAGCAAAAGTGGACTTAGAAAGATATCAGTCTCAGTCCCGAATGAAGCCCTTCCTTTTCCATTGTTGCCAATCATGATTTTATCTTCTATGACTACTGAGAAGAGGAAGATGTGTGGAAGGACTGGTGAAAATGTGTCACCAGTCCTCAGTCAGCCCCAAAGTACCCTGAAAGTAGATCCTCAGTTACTAGGATGCCCTAAGGGGTCAATAAAACATCCCCACAAACTGGATGTGATGGTGTAATCCCAGCAATTTAGGAGACTGAGGCAGGAGACTAGCAAATTTGAAGCCAGCCTCAGCAACATAACCATGTAGCTCAGTGGTAAAACACCTGTGGGTTCCATCCCTGGTACCCAAACCAAAAACAAATCCACAGGGCTGGGGATGTGGCTCAAGCAGTGGCGTGCTTGCCTGGCATGCGTGCGGCCCAGGTTCGATCCTCAGCACCATATACAAACAAAGATGTTGTGTCAGCTGAAAACTAAAATAAATATTAAAAAAAATATATTCTCTCTCTCCCTTTAAAACAAACAAACAAACAAAAAACAAATCCACACATCCAGCTGCTGGGAAGAGAAAAATCAAGAGAGAAAATGTATAGATTCTCCTATTTGAGAGTTTGAATCCCAAGTTTAGGAATGACTCTAATAAGCTGTCCTCCACCGTGAAGCAAACTTAACCCCAACCCTAGGCCAAAAATAACACTTCCTATCAAGTTGCTTGTATTTTCCTTTTTTCATTCTAAGGCCATTTTACCTATGAAAATGTTGAGCTTCAGAAATGGAAAATGATCTGCCCAAGTTTCCACAGCAAGACAGAGGCAGAGTCTGCCTTCAGAATCCTAATCAATGTTTGTCTTTTTATCCAGTGTACCAGACTGCTCTATTCAACCCAACAGTTGCTTTTATCACATTTAACCTTTTTCTTTCTTTTATTTAGTACTGGAGATTGAACTCAGGGGCACTCAACCACTGAGCCACATCCCCAGCCCTATTTTGTATTTTATTTAGAGATGGATCTCAATGAGTTGCTTAGCGCCTTGCCTTTGCTGAAGCTGGCTTTGAACCCTTGATCTTCTTATCTCAGCCTCTGGAGCTGCTGGGATTACAGGTATGCATCACTGTGCCTGGCCCCAGCCCTTTTTTAATATTTAATTTAGACATAGGGTCTTGCTAAGCTGCCCAGGGCCTTGCTAAGCTGTTGAGGCTGGCTTTGAACTCTTACATTTAATCTTGACTGCGACCTCTTTCCTAACCCCATAATAGTCTCATGTGCTTCTGGCCCATCCAGTGGAAATGGCTTGTTTTCCTTGTGTTCCTCCTTGCTCCCTCCTCCTATTTTAGCACCGTGAAACCTCCCTTTTACTCATGCTTCCTTCTTGGAAAGGGCAATCTTGGGAAGAAGAGAAGGGACAGATTTGGTCCCCAACCTGAAGTGGGGCCGCCTGGCTTTTATCTGCACCATTGCAGGAATGATCATTAGTAGGAGGGCTTTGGGGCATGTAACAAGAAGGCCATCTCCCCTCTCCCACAGATGCCTTGCTAAAGCAATCTCTTGATTCTAGTCATGGAGCAGGATAACATGCCATGTGGCCAGGATGTAAGAGCTTGAGATTCTGAGATGAAGACTTCAAGAAAGATCATAATTTGTGATGGGCAGCAATCAGTAAACTGGGACAACAGCAGCAGTTGAGTCCAAGGGTCAGAATCTGGGAGTAATTAGCAAAGTTGGTGCTGACAGCTGTGTGTCTGGGAGTTGAACGTCATGGCCAAACCAGCTCCTGGGCTCCTTGGCTGCTTCAAGATAATAAAGCAGAGAGAACACAGAGGCAGCTGTTCTCTGGCAGAGGCAGGGCCTCTGAGGGCCCAAGCTCAGCCTTCAGGATTCCCAGCAGTGTGATCTTAGGCTAGTCACTTAGGAAAGGAGGAAACTAGTATTTGCAGTGATTTTAATGCCCTTCCACATATGGCACCCTCACTACAGTTTAGGGAGGAAGGCAATGTCCACATTTTTTTACATCAGCAGCCCTGAAGGCAAATCTGTGCTGTGTTGCTGGGAAGCAGAAAGATAAAATTAGGACCCAGAGGTTTTGAATTCAAGTGTGGGGTTCTTTTCTTGAGCTGTACCTTCTTTCTCTGTAAAATGGTGAAAATAATATACCTGCTTTGGGGCTGGAGGGATAGCTGAGTGGTAAAGCATATATGCAACGCCCTGAGTTTGAACTCAGGCAATAATAATAATAATTCCACCTTACACATTAAGTGGCTCAATCCCCTTTCTAGAAACTTTGGTCCTCAAAAGTGTGGCCACCTTTCTCCTGGGAACGTAGTCATCTTACTTTTGTCCTCCCACCGGCCAATGCAGGTTTGAGGGTCTAGGACCCGGGAGGTGACTTGAAGGGAGAGTAATTGGCTGTTTTCTTTGCTATCCCGCTTCGCAGGCTTTCTCCCCTTCTCCGGATTCAGTAGAGCCGGCTCCCTCTTTTCCCGGATTTTGGCAGACAGGCTGACATCAGTGGGTGTTCCCAGGGAAAAAGAACTCTGAGCAGCCGGCCCAGCTCCAGGCGCCCCTTCCCCCACGGCCCAAGCGTGCCCCAGCCCCCTGCCGTAGATACTGCTGCGTTGAGAGGCCCTCGGAGCTCCCAGCCCCCTCCCTCCTCTCCAGGTCGGGGAGGGCAGCTCGCCTCCACCCCTCCCGTTCCGAAAGGGAGGGGGCAACAAGAATCTGACGGGAGACTCTGGGCGCCACTCAGCCGGGCCCAGGAAACAGATTCCCGTACTGAGGTTACGAAGGGAGCTGTCCAGCCCCGCAGGGTGAGATGGAAAAGAGCGTGGGCCAAAGCCGGCTAGGCGGAGGGAGCCACGGGCGCCAGGCGCGGGTGCGGCAGCGACTCCCCCTCCAGCTCGCCGGCCCCGGGCGTCGCCCCCGCCCCCCACGTGGCCGCAGCCGTCCCAGCCCCTGCGAGGAAGCGGCGCGGCTTCCTGCGGCTGGGGCCGGGGATATAGGCTCCCCCGCTCCGGCTCGGCTCAGCTCCGCCGCTCCCCGTTGCCTCCTCGCCGCGCGATGACTTTGCTCCGTGCGGAGCGCACCGGCGGCAGCTCGCGGCTCCCCGAGACCCGCGCGGGGTGGCGGACAGCGCTCCGCCTCCTCCTCCTCCTGCTGGGCGGTGAGCGCTGCGTCCCTGGGCCCGGGCGGGAGGCGCGGGAAGCCCCGGAGAGGAGGGGAGCTGGATGGCCGAGGCCAGCACCCGCCCCAGTACGGGTGCAGACTGAAGTGCTGGGCAGCGCTGTCCTTCTGGCGGCCCCCAGCCCCACCTCGGGGCGGACGCAGGCGAGCTGCTCCCCTCTCAGGGAAAGCTGGGGTGCCAGCGGGGACCCCGCAGAGAGGTCTTGGGAGGTCCTGGGCTGCCCAGGAGGGATGGGGCTCTGGGCCTGGATGCGAGTGGGAAGCAGCTGGTACCAGCCTGTCCCTTCCCCGCACGAAGACATCCCGTGAGAGGGTGGATTATTCCTCTTTCTCTTCCAAGGTAGCCCTGACTTCTCAGGATTTTAGCTCCCAATCCCCAAGCAGGCTCCACTGCCCAGAACCCACCATTCCACCCTTCTCTCCCATTTCTTCCCACAGCTCTGCTGAAGCCCCAGGAATCCCTGGCTCAACCTTCTCCCATCCAGGACAGCTTGAAGTCAGAAGGTGGGTACCCAAAGGTGTGAGAGAGTGGCCAAGGGCAAGAGGAGAGCCAGGTTAGTGGGGAGGGTCTCTTTGCTACAAGGCGGGCCCAATCCCAGTTGGTGCCTCACTAAACTCCTCTCTCAGGATTACTTGTGATGTTATTCCCTCTCATCCCACAAAAAACAAAACAAACAAACAAAAACCCCTCCTGTCCAGCCTTGAGCTAGCCCACCTCACATGTGAATGAGAAGATTCAGGAAAAGGTGTATGTGGAGAAGCTCCTCAGGCTGGGATAAGAAGTGCTGTGCATGTGGAAGTCATTAAAAGATTCCAGTGCTGGGTTCTCCCCTCAGCCAAAGTGTCTTCTAGGGAAACTTTTGGAGAGGTTCCCATGCTTGAAGACAAGGTCAGGAGCTCCAGTTGGAAATACCTGGGCCAGAGGGTTTGAAGGGAGAGCCAGGGGGTGTGGTCATAATGCAGCTTTTGTACCTCCAGGAAAGACCGTGGAAGATTATAAGACAAATGCCCTACTTTGCTGGCAAGGTTATAAGATGTATATGGACTCCATTGAAAAGGATTGGTGTGACTGGACCGTGATTAGCAGGTAGGGGCAGTGCTGAAGGGGACTCAGGCTAGGGGTTGAACCCTAAGTGGGTTTGGAGTAAACCTCCTCTTCCTGGACCCAACCCCTCCCTTACTCCATTCCTCTACTGCCCTGCAGGCCTTATAGTGAACTTCGGGATTGCTTGGAGCATGAGGCGGAGGAGTTTGGCCTGGGCTTCCCCAATCCCTGGGCAGAGAAGATCATCTTTGATACCCACCTGATTCACTTTGCCAACTGCTCCCTGGTGCAGCCCAGCTTCTCTGATCCCCCGGAGGATGTGCTCTTGGCCATGATCATAGCCCCCATCTGCCTCATCCCCTTCCTTGTCACTCTTGTGGTATGGAGGAGTAAAGACAGTGAGACCCAGGCCTAGGGTAGCCTGAACTTCAAAACCTTCATGTTACTTCTCTCTCCTCCCCTCCCTACCCACTTTTCTCACTCTCACCCCCACTGCAAATCCTTGGCACAAGTTCTGTAATCTTCAAAATAAAATTTCTGTTTTTTTGTACAATGTCCCCTACCCCATTCAAGTGGTGCCTGTGTCCACAGTCACTGCCAGTCCCACAGGCACTCAGCTCTGGGTAGAGGAGCTGGAAGACTCTAGATGGCTTCACTATTCTGTTCACTTCACCTGCCCCCACCCTCACATGAAAGCCATACCCCTATAGTTCTTCCTCCCAGGGAGGAGCCTTTCCTGCCCCTGTCCAAATCCAGCTCCAGGAAAGGAGCAGGAAGAGACTCCCTTCCGGTCTGGACAGCAGCTGGGAGCCTCTGATTGAGAATGTGGTGGGGGGAGGGGCAAGGGTAGAATCTTTAGCAAGAAGAAAGGGAGGCTACCTGGAAGCCCCTACTTCTCCCCTTCTTCATGCCTCAGTTTACTCCCAGAACCTGGGAAGCAGAAACCTGACAAGCGAAGGGAATCAATCCCTAAGGACCTCCAGATTGATGCCAAAGGCAGTGGGGGCTTCCTCAGCTAGGCTCACCATTCCCGCTCCAGGTCATTGGCTTAGATCCTACAGTGTCCTGGACAGGGTGTGGCCTATAGACTGGCCACACACTGCCCTCTGGTGTCCACTAAACCAACGACCAGAAGATGTATATGATGTGGAAGAAGCTCAAGGCGGAGGAGCATTTGGATCCTGGGGTCAGAGAACTGTCCTCTCTGTAGTAGCCACTGACTTTTAGCTTGATCTTTTATCCGATTCCTGAGACATATCAATATATTTCACCTTGATATACTGTTATACTTTCTAGGGACTTACCTAGCCCTTATATGCAACTCACCATTTCTGTTTTTGTTTTGGTTCTGGGGGATTGAATCCAGAAGTGCTTTACCACTGAGCTACATCCTTTTCATTTATTTTTGAGACAGGGTCTCATTAAGTTGCTGAGCCTGACCTCAATTTTGCCATCCTCTTGCCTCAGCTTCCCAAGTTACTGGGATTACACTGAACTGTCTAACTCACCATTTCTTTTTTTTTAATATTTATTTTTTAATTTTCGGCAGACACAACATCTTTATTTGTATGTGGTGCTGAGGATCGAACCCCGGCTGCACGCATGCCAGGCGAGCGCGCTACCGCTTGAACCACATCCCCAGCCCTCACCATTTTTTTAATATTATTATTTTGAATTTTTTAGTTGTAGATGGACACAATATCTGTATTTTATTTATTTATTTTTATGTGATGCTGAGGATTGTACCCAGTACCTCATGCATGTGAGGAAAGCACTCTACCACTGAGCTACAGCCCCAGCCCAAACTCACCATTTCTTATATGAACAATGTTTCCTGGTTAATAAGGGTTCTCACTAGGGAATCCTCATCTCCAGCCCTTGCTTGGACTCACCTGCCAGGTCACTAAAAACAATTACAACTTTGTTCTCCATGGAGACACTGTTTATTCCTGTGGCACACTTGGCTACCTTAGAAACTTTCCTTCTTGTTGAAATATCTGCCTCTCCGAATACATGCATGTCCATTTCCTGGGTCATGCCTCTCTATGCCATAGATATATGTCGGTGTTTCCTGGCATGTACCTATTCCCAGAGACATACTTCTTTCAGAAAACACTTGTCCCTATAGAGACATATCTGTTCCCTAAGGATATATATTTTTAAAGATGTTTCTTTTTTTATACCTTTATGTTATTTATTTTCATGTGGTGCTGCGGATGGAACTCAGTGCCTCACATGTGCTAGGCAAGCACTGTACCATTGTGCTACAACCCCAGCCCTCCTAAGCTATTGTGAGGTTTCAGCTGAAATAAATATTTGCTGTATCTCTATGAATACAACCATCTTCCCCAAGAATATATCTACTTCTTCTTGGCACATATTTGCTTTTACCAAGTTTTATTGATTTACATCTGGGGGCTATTGGTATAAGACACTGTGTATGGTGTGGCTGTTGGAAAGGTAGGTTAGAATCTGTTCTGCCCTCAGTGGCTTTTATCTAGTGGGAAATTTGACATATGTACACATAAAAATGATGGAATATGTAATGAGAGACATGTAAGCAATACAACCCAAATTTTATTCAAGTGCAAAGGAAGGAGGGAATCACACTTAGCTGAGACCATCACAGGTGTGGTCACAGAAGGGTGTTTGCTGAGTTGGGATATGACAAGGCCTTAGATGGAGTGCATTCTTGAAGGGGAAAGAGTAGAAAGAGAGATAAATTAGGAAATCATCACAGTAATCCAAGCTTGAAAAATGAAGACATGGCCGGGTGCAATGGCACACACCTGTAGTCCCAGTGGCTCAGAAGGCTGAGGCAGAAGGATCCTGAATTCAAAGCCAGCCTCAGCAAAAGTGAGACGCTAAACAACTCAATGAGACCCTGTCTCTAAATAAAATTCAAAATAGGGCTTGGGATGTGACTCAGTGGTCGAGTGCCCATGAGTTCAATCCCTAGTACCCTCCCCCAACAAAAAAACCTCAGGGGAGCAGGGATGGGGTTGTGGCTTGGTGGTTGAGTGCTTACCTAGCACGTGCGAGGCACTGTGTTCAATCCTCAGCATCACATTAAAATAAATAAATAAAATAAAGTTAAAAAAAAAAGGAGTAAACCAGTAGGACTTGGATATGGCGGGGATAAAGGAGAGAGAAGTTAAGGGCAACTTAAACATTGAACTTGAGTTATTAGAATAATGATAGCAGTAATAATAGAAGAGGACCATTAGGAGGAGGAATTGGCCTGAAGAAAAGGATGTGCAATATGAGGAAACAGTGGAACAAGCTGTTATGTCCCATAAAGAATTAGAAATGGGGTTCAGTGGGAAAAGGTTAGATCTGGAAATAGAGGTTTGAGAGTCTTCAGCACAGAAATATGAACCCACAGGAGGGATAAGAGCTCTAAGAGATAAGGTGTATTGAAAAGAAGGTTGAGGGCCTGGGGCTGTAGCTCAGGTGGAGTGCTGGCCTAGCACGCGTGAGGCCCTGGGTTCTATCCTCAGCTCCACATAAAAATAAATAAATAAAATAAAGGTATTATGTCCAACTACAACTAAAAAAAAAAAATTAAAAAAAGAACCTCCAAGGAAATGTCCACCTTTGAAGAATGAGGGGAAAAATGGAGACAGAGATAAGATCAAAGAGGTAGTCATAGAAAAAAGCATCAAAGAGGCCAAGAAAATGGTGGTTTCTGAGGAAGCTGATAAATTCATTCGTTCAGCAAATATTTGTTGATTGATTAGGTTTGGGGTTGTGGCTGAGTGGTAGAACGCTTACCTAGCATGTGTGAGGCCCTGGGTTTGATCCGCAGCACCACATAAAAATAAATAAATAAAGATATTGTGTCCAACTAAAAAATAAATATTAAAAAATAATAATTAAAAAAATATTTGTTGATTGCTCTGTGGACCATAAACTATGCCCAATGATGGACTGGTGTGAAATAAAGGTTAAAGATCAGACAGGAAATTGAGGTGATAGGATTAAGGGTATGCATATATTTAAATAGGGATGGCCTAAACATGTTTGTGTCCTAAAGGAAAGGAACCAGGGAAAAGAGAGACAGAGAGAGACAGAATACTAAAGAGAAGTCCTGAAGGAAGTTGGAAAGGTGAGGTGAGAAGACAGGTCTAAGGGTGACTCTTGTAAAAGAAGGAGTAAAAGTGGTGAGGAATCTTTGTATGAATCAAATATAGTGACAAAGAGAGAACGATTAAAGGGTTCACATGCCTGACCTCAAACTCATAAAGTAGGGAAAAAAGAGGATGGGGGTGGGGGGCATAGAGCAACAATTCTGGTTTGGGAACTGACCAACTGTGTAAGGAGGCAGATAACATCAAAAGGGTTCCTGGAACTTGAGACTAGGAGGTAGAGGACTTGGGTGAGGTGAGAAAGATAGCAGCCCTGTCTTTGGAAGCAGAGCTGTCTCTAGTGATACAACTTACAAAGACGGAGACTGAGGAACGGTGGAGTCAAAGACACAGGAATCAAAGAGATTGTAAAATCGTGGGGAGTTTTTTTTTTTTTAAATTTTAATATTTTATTATTTTTTTTTTATTTCTCGGCGGACACAACATCTTTGTTTGTATGTGGTGCTGAGGATCGAACCCGGGCCGCACGCATGCCAGGCGAGCGCGCTACCGCTTGAGCCACATCCCCAGCCCCCGTGGGGAGTTTTAATTAAATGGTAACTGACATGCATGTTAATATTAAAAGGTGCGTAGTACAGTGGAACTAAGTCTAGAGACCTGGGTTCTACTGGTGTTCTACTAACAAACTATGCTGCGTTGGGGAACTCACTTCCCTTTTCTGACATCGAACCAGAAGACTTCATAAGGCTCTTTCTGGTCTAAAAGATAAAGCTTTTAAGGATAATGGCAGAGGACTGGCTGATGACAGAAAGCCCTTCCGTCGGGCTGTCAGTCTCCTAGAAGGTGTCCGGAACCTTTCTGCTGTGCCTCCTGCCCGGACGTGCTGATGCGGATGCCGGAAGTCCCGTGTGCGGAGGTTCCGTGTTTTCTGGGCTACTACGATGGCGATGAGTTTCGAGTGGCCGTGGCAGTACCGCTTCCCGCCCTTCTTTACGTGAGGCTGGGACCCCGAGAAGCCCCGCTGTACCTTCCCCTCTCCTCCCCGGGGCCCTGGGCTCAGTCCTGATGCATCACTTGGGTGGGGGGTGTAGAAAGGATCCAGCCGCTATCATTCTTAGTTCCCCACGTTTCTCCTCCAGACGCGCCCAGGGGCAAGTGCTGCCTCTAGCGTCCTGTAATTCTGCACTCTACTCCCTCCACCCGGCAGGTTACAGCCGAACGTGGACACTCGGCAGAAGCAACTGGCTGCCTGGTGCTCGCTGGTCCTGTCTTTCTGCCGCCTGCACAAACAATCCAGCATGACGGTGATGGAAGCGCAGGAGAGCCCACTCTTCAACAACGTCAAGCTACAGCGTATCCTCCCTCAGGCTCTTCTACAGCCCACACACATGCACTTCCACACTTTTCCACAAGTCCGGACTTCACCTCCCTCCCACTTTCCCCACATTAGGTAGGTTTCTACCCA